AAACCCCAAAACCCCAAAACCCCAAAACCCCAAAACCCCAAAACCCCTAGAATATTAATAATATTTGAAATTTTGAGATGGCAAAAATATGGTTTTTAGTCATAATCTTTCTTCTCTCAACTATTTGAAATGACGAAATCTCTGAAGAAATAGAGAAGGAGTTAGAAATCTTAGATATTGAGTCTGAGACAGCCCAATCTAATATAGTACGGACTATTGGAGACCAAGTCCATATTGATCTTTGTAAGTAAGATATTCACTAAATCTAGGTCCCGCAAAATGCCACTACAATGGAGTATGCCAGAGGTAAAATCATGCTTAAAGTTGTATAGAGTCTTTCACAGAGAGTCAAAGAACCTAGAAGAATACAATTACAACGAGAAGTTTATTTGTGTCTGTAAAGAGTTTTTCATCGGAGCAACCTGAAACCAATGAAAAACAGACCATTTCGGAAAAGAATGAGAGCTCTGTCCCATCGATGAAGGGAAAGTCTGAGCAGGTAATGGAGTCTGAGATGATGGAATTAAGGGAACTGGCAAATGATACTGTGAAACACCTGATTTACTCCCAGTTAATAATTGTAGGAAAGTTATTCTCGATACAGGACACCATAAAGAGAATGTTGTCCAATCATTAGGGCTCTCATTTTTGTTTTTATTAATGCTTGCTTGTATTTTGCTGATGTATATGTACAAGAAGTTGAAGTATCTTCATATAATCCCAGAATCAATTGTTGCTATTATTATTGGCCTGATATTTGGATCTATAATAAAATCCTCTTTCGAGAACCAAGATTTGATAAATATTCTTTCTTTCGAACCACATGCCTTCTTTTTGATCCTATTGCCACCAATAATGTATGACGCAGGTTTTACCTTAAACAAGGCGAATTTCTTTGCTAATATAGTGCCAATTGCTTCATTTGCTATCTTTGGAACAATTATAGCCACTATTGTGTTCTCGCTGACAATTTTCTTCCCAGGATTTTTGTATAATCTATATCCACTTTCATTAGGAGAATGATTGCAATTTGGCTCCTTGATATCGGCAGTTGACCCTGTTGCGACTATTTCGATATTCAAAAACTTTGGAGTTAACAAAAATATCTTCTTCCTCGTGTTTGGAGAGAGTGTTTTGAATGATGCTGTATCCATCGCTCTGAATCATTCTTTTGCTGTACTTACACAGACAGAGTTTTCAGGAGGGCAATTGATCCAAATGGGTATCAAATTTTTCATCATCTTCTTTGGCTCTATTGCATTCGGTTTAATCATGGGGATTATAGTCTCTCTGATGTTGAAGTATATTCAGTTTGATAATGACCAGTTCATTGAATTATCATTTTTCTTCTTTTTCAGCTACATTCCTTATATACTCAGTGAAGCGATTGGCTTGTCAGGGATTTTATCCATTCTCATAACAGGAATGGTGATGGGGCATTACGCAAAGTATTCTTTATCCCCGATTTCAAGAGTGACGGTGGAGAATATTCTACAAGTAATCTCATCTATTGCTGAAATTTTCATTTTTGCATATCTTGGGCTCTCTTTCCCTCTAATTAGTGTAAAGACTCCTCCAGCGTTAGTATTGATGGGAACTTTTGGTCTTCTCTTTTCTAGAGCCATCTCAATATTTGGAATTTCCCTATTAGTCAACAAGATTACTAAGGAAAAGATTTGTTTCAGTAGTCAGATCATCGTATGGTTCAGTGGCTTGAGAGGAGCTGTTGCATTCTATCTTGCTATAAATACAACAAGTGAGAACCAAGAGGAAATCTTATCCTCAACTCTCTGGCTGATATTGATCAGTATCCTTGTACTAGGATCCTTGACTCCTTTGGTCCTCAATATTCTAGATAGGATCTTCCCTTATGACAAGATCATGTGTGTTGAAGATACTGAAGAGGAAGAACTTCTTGCACCCAGAGCTTTAGGAATTCTTTCTCCTGAAAACATCGATGCAAGCGATAGTGACACAGGTGGGATTCTCTCCAAAAGAGAAATTACAGATAGCGAACTTCTGGTCTCAAGATTCAGCTATTTTGATGTCAAATTCTTTAGAACTTACTTCAGGAAGAGGCTTTGGCACAAATATGAGAAAGGATTCAAAGACATCATGGAATATAACAAAGAGATGATCAAATACAGAAAGAGAAAAATAGCTCAGTAATCTTAGAATAAAATTATATAGAATGAGAAGTAATGAAGCTAGGTCAGATGGAAGATTGTCAGAGCAGCGTTTAGGTCCAGCGGGAAGTAGTATTACAGACCAAAGAAGAAAAGCAGAGAATGTAATCTCTCGACAGGAAAGGCTCCATTATAGTGACGAATCGGGAATCTAATTTAGGTTTCAATATTAAATGCTATGCTTGGGGTTTTGGGGTTTTGGGGTTTTGGGGTTTTGGGG